ATTTCTCTAGTTTCAATGCGTTGCTATGAAGTGATTGAATCGATTCCTCTTATGCTCCGTCACAAACCACGCCATCTCACTTCTGAACCCTCCCTGGTCTCCCTCATGGGTGCTCGCCGTCTAGCTGCAGGCCACACGTTCGCGCCGCCTCTCTGGCATACCTGTTGCTGCGTAACAAGTTCGCCTTGCTCTCCGACAGGTTTTTCTGCACTTTCTTCAACGTAACAAATAAGAATACCATGGCCTTATTCAGCTCACGTATCGGAGTCTAGATAGCTGCCGAGGAGTCTTGCCTGATCCCTCCCCTGATACATAGCAAGACAAGCGGATCACACGAACCTTCTCAGAGAGTTGTTCTCTGTGTTTGCAATGTTTAATGAATGTCATTTAAATAGTTGTAAACCGGAAACTGCGAGCACTGACGCAAGTGAAAATGTTATGAAAATGCATATTAATAGCATTTAAAAACTTATGCGGAAATCCGGGTCGCCGTGTAAGAACCCCTGCCACCAACCTCTTTCCAGGGAGCGAGCTCAACGAGGTCAATGAACTCCGCTGAGCTGGACGGACAGTGAACAGCCGGTAGGCTGTTATTATTAGGCACGCGTTTCCATTCTGGACTTTCAGAGCCGGTGTGTTTAGTAAAGTTTTCATGGTTTAGGTCGCCTCGCTCTCTAATTTCACGACGCCTGGGTTGCGTTGAATGCAAACACAACTAACGTGTAATTTGCACTGGCATTAAATATGGTGTGCATTAAATATTGGAGTAAGAAACAAAAAAATAAAAAACTAAGTTTGCAGTTCACGTAATGGTAATTTTTTGATTATGAAAAGTGATTTTTATGTTTTTGAAGTTTATTAAGAAAATACATATTAAATAGCAATGATTTTCATTTATCTGGGTCGTTTTTAGTAGATTCTAAAATTCTCGTTCCAAGGATATGGTATGCCGCTTTCTCTGAAATAATGTAAATTATTTCCTGGATTGTAGACCTTGTATTCAAAATTATGAATATGAATATAGAATAAAAATGTTTAATTGATATAGCTACACGAATCTTTCCGTTCTTGCGCAGCTGTATTTGTACTTAGAAAAGACGTTTTCTGCCATTCAGTGCAAACCATTTTTCGAGCGTAAATAGTTTGAGTAGTGATTTACACATGCACTCCAAGTAGTAAAGTAAATATATTCAAGGGGAAAATAAAAAAAATAAATACGATGCGGAGAAAAAGTAGATTTTCAGCAAAAGGTAAACTCATCAGTAGCAAACAATTCAGTTATTCCTGTTGGTTGTTAGCTTAAAAATCTCTATGTTATTTCACACTAACGGAATCAACAAAAGAATTAATTAACAAAATAATAAAATAAAAAAAGCAGTTGACAAAACCAATTCAAGATGAATCTTTTCTGCGTTTTCATCAAACATATTCATCCCTGACCGAATGTAATTTGTTTGTGTTTCGGACCATGAATAGAGTAAAACACTTTATTTTCAATTTATAACTCCTTATCTAGAGTTATATAATGCACAATTTGGTGATATCAGATCGTTTTAAAAGTTTCTGTTAGATAAAGACCTACAGTGTATCGAAAACGTAGTGACAGGTTACATTTCATGCTACAAAATCATTAATAGTTCGTTTATAATACTCTGAAAATGTAATATAATGAAACTTACGCTTTGTTGATGAGTCAACGTATTATGTTAATAATACATTAACGTTTTATTCTTGGCAACAATAAAAGGATGAAAACTAATTCATTTATTCCATATTTTGAGTTTTGCTCTCAATTTTTCCTCTAAAAGGTTCATATGCTACATGACGTTATTTCCTTATTTAAATTTATAACTGTGGGTGTTTCAAGTTACTCCATGGTTGGGAGTTTCTTGAATTCCACGTTTCTAAGCATGTGTCAGGCAATAAAAACGGAAATAATAACTTTCAATACTGTAAGCTGCTAAAAAATATATAAAAACAACATGAAAATGTATTCTTTTCCGTTTTAATACAAGATTTCATCATCTTCAGACTATGGCAACTGTAGGATAGTATCTAAAAGTCTCATATGTTAATGAGAATGCAAAAACGCCCTCGTCTCATCCGTATGAGGAAATGCGAGCAATACATTTCTTTTTTTGAAATGGCACATGTCTTCTTTATTCGGAAATACTCATGCTAGATGTTTAAAACGAGTAAAAATAATTAAATGAGTGAAACTGTTGGTGATTTTTATACACATTTAGGGAATTAATTTAGATTTTTCCTAATATGTCAAGTTTAATTTAGACGAGCACCAAAATAAATATTTTAAATAAAAATACTTGTTGAGGTAGCAAACAATTATGAGAGTAATAACATCAGAATCGAGAAGAGGTATTTTTGTAAATATTATAGATTTGATAGTCTAAGTTGTAGAAAAGTTTTGGAGGGTGCGTTTTAGAAGGAAAATTGATAACGATATAAATGAAAGAAAAAATAGTTCCCTGGATATACTCAATTCAATTTCTGAATACGTTAAGGGTTTGTTGTGGGGATTTGGTAAAATATACCAAAGAGACAACAACCCACGATAAATAATGATGCAACTTAAAAAATTAATCCAAATTTGTTTGACGTCACCCCTGATTATTATATATATAAATAACGAGATCGGATGCATTCTCTTAATTACTCGTATGAGCTAAAACATTGATATTTTTTGTTATTCAAGGCCACATTAACTACTAGATCATTAGTGACCACTATTGATTTAACTTTAGGGGTATCTGTATACTAAATGAAATGATGATCATGAGGGATGAAAGAACAAATTCAACCATTCCCGTGGCGGGACTCGAACCCGGGATCCCTTTGCCAGAGATCGCTGCAGCGCTACTGCCTAAGCAATCTCGGCCACATTGACATTTTGCGTCAGCAAATATTTCAGTTTCTGTCTATAATTGCTTTTTAAAACTGATACAAATTGCAAAAATATATATCCCCCGCGAAGCTACTTAAAGAATATACTATACTAGGTATTATATTTTAATTATATTACCGATTAAGGTCTTTTAACACGCTATTTATCTACAAACTAATTATATTGTGAGCAAAGATAGTATATAGAATTTTAAATTCCTCTTCCAGTTTTCCAACATTAATGAATCACAAATATATATCGATATTAGTCCCACAAAATGTAAACAATAATCATCTTGATGTCGTAGGCTTCCGCGGCCAGAGTCATGATCTGGGCTGTCCGGGTGACGCCGCGTCGATGGTAATAATATATAATATATAATAATATATATATATATATATATATATATATATTATATAAAACTCTCGAATGGCAGCATGGAAAAGTTTGTCGTTAGTTTCCAATAAAACTAATACTATATTCAATTTTCCCGCAGGCAATTCCCATATTTGCTCATATACACGCATGCATGTTATTGCTGTAGGGTTGTAAATAAGTTAACCTAATACATTGTAACATTATTTACAAATTAAATATGTACTTTCCTTTTTTGAAAACCATAAATAGATTTTTATCCAAAAGGCCGTGCGCTTCCAAAATGATTTCCTTTAACATAATATTTGTCATCTGATATCACGATACTTATTTTTCCCCAAACAACCCAGGTTGGACTTCCATCTTATTGCATATTTTTAAAGGTTAATTCCCTCTTCCTTTTCTTTTTTTTGGGGGGGGTGGTG